TTATACTTGAATGATTTGCATTACTACGTACAGAAGACATAAGGGAATCGCCATTTTCTCATTTAGAACCTCTTAACTATGTTATGAGGTGGTTTTCGATGTTCAAGATGGCTCCTTCACTTCACGACTACCGTAGCTGCTGGGAGCTTGCAATTCATGCCTGATTCCAAAAGATGATGCGCTTTGGTTGTTGTTCGTAGCCGCATAGAGTTGCTTCGCCATATAGCCTTACTATTTCTTCCCTTGATTATCGTAGAAACGGATTAGCAGAGAGTTGCGTTTTATACAGTCGCAATATGTGACATTAACGACGATGGGGTTTGCCGTTTTATATCTCTCTATTTGTTTTGCGTTATCCGTTGCATTGCTTTGTGTAGAAAGAACGCTAAAAAGCATTATGCTGATGACAGCTACTTCCTAGAGCGAATTCACTTATTTTTCTTCTTCACTCTGCGAAGGCGATGCTGAGACTGGTTTCATAGAGAATAAAAATCTTGGGGGGGGGGCATTCAGTGCAGTTCTTACAGATAAGATCAGCCGCTAACCAGTTAGAACAATGTGGTGAGGCGATATTTCTCGGATTCCTAGAGGACCTTGGCTACCTGGATAAAGAACACACACCACACTTGCTTTTGTAGTTCTATATTCTCTTGTACATTAACTCGAACTGTTCATCTAATCTATCGATGGAGCGCAGCTGCCTAAGAAAATTTTCATATGTTTTTCAGCGCTGATGTACGCCTCTTTCATATTGTTTGTGAGGATATTTTAAAATGCACAGCCGTTCGAAACTTCATTAACAAAGTGGTAGTGGCTCAGTGTCTAAGAGGTCTGCTTTGAACTCTGGAAATGCTCTGTTCGGTTCCGCTTGAAGAAAATCTTTTTTCTGTTCGCGAATTCCTTTCAGCAAGGAATTGACCGCACATTGCTCCACACTGAGGTTGCTCAGTTAGTAGAGCGTCGAACTCAGAACTGAGAGGTCACGAGTTCAACCCCGATCGAGGTCATTTGCCCTCCTTCCTTCCAAGGTTTATAAATACGTACCTATCTGTGGGAAGGAAATAGGAGACAACACGTTTTGCTTTGCCACATGGCTATAAATTCTGCCCTTAAAATAAGGCACTTCTGGCTGATGGCATTGAAACGGAGATTAGTGCCAAACGAAAAACAGCACATTCATGAAAAGAAGGTGCCAAAATGATCCAAACATGAAAATAAAAAAAGACTGACATTCCAAAGGTAGCAGATTCACTTTTTTTTTCGTTTTGTTAACAGGCTAAAACGAGTGCATATTATTAGTAACGAAAACAGTTTAAATCCTTAGAAAATATCTTTATTGGAAGTTTGCGGGGCTTTTGAAACGGTTTTGCTTTTCAAACTTACAAACAAATAATTGAATAATTGTGTAGATGAAATAATTGTCAGAGCGCTTTGTAAAGAAAGGAATACCGTTTAGAGCCCCATAACTTCCATTTGTTTTAATATCTGAATATAGAGCATTTCATTTGTGCGTTGGTGGTCATGTTTAAAAACAGTATAACAAACATACTCAACGCAAAGAATGATCAATCGATGATTGTCGAATACCGACTTTTCAGTCCGTTTCTTGTGAGCCGTCTTTTTTTTTGGCCGAATTCGGAGGCTTTACTTATTATACGCAGCGGTTTTGTAGGTTTAGAACCAGATGGCATGCTTTTGGCCCATACTACTAATTATATACTTTCTGGGCGATAGGGACTAAGTGGATTGGATGGCTCGTCTCCCTGGTAGCCCAGAAATAATAGAACCAGCTTAACAGACCTAAAGCTGGTCTTCTGACTCAAAATCTACAAAATGCTGCAGTTGTTAAGGAAAATCTACGAAACTACCAACCAACCTCTTAACTTGAAGAAGGATCGAGAGACACGGGCTGAAACATAGGTCTTGGACATCGTCCGATTGACCATATTGTTAGGTTGCATATTAATGAACCTCGTTTTATTCTGTTTTTCAGCTTAACTTTTAGTACAGTTTAAACCGTTTTTGATATTGATTTTCACTAGCGGGTGATAGTTATTCGGTATAAATTTTTGTGGATATATTTATTGTTTGTCTTTTAGTTTTTTAATTGCTGTATAAATTCAGGAACTGGCAGATTTGGTCAACTCGAATTCAAAGCTGTTTCGGGATGTTCATGTGGACGAAAGAAATATCCTTCAGTGGAAAGGCTTACTTCTTCCAGTAAGTATAGTTACTGAAAAATGCCGGCATATTTCCATCATTCAGTCTTTTCAGATTTTGCACTTTCTTAAGTGAAGACAAATTGTTATCTCAAAGTTTGTGATCTAGTAACGTATGCTTTTTTAAGGTTTATGTTGATCCTCCCTCATATGCTTGAAGCTTTAGGAGAATGAGGCTTGTTCTTGCTAAACGTGTCTGTCAAACTGCGGTGACTAAAAGGAGGACACTACTGGGCTGGAGAACCGGGGTTGTAGTATCTCAGTTTAAGAACGGAGGCCATAAAGATTACTCATATTTTAATGGCATTATCTCTCTTAGCCTCCCGGCTAGTCTGCGCAGAAATGCTAGAAAAAGAGGTGATGCAGAGTAACTGACTCCAAAATACGAGAAGAGCAGTGTGGTGCCTTCCGGTCCGGTCGAAGAACTTTTGACCAGTTATTTGTCCACGCCAGATTGCTGAGAAATCATTCGAGTTCGCGTATCAGGTTTATATGTGCTTTGTTGATTTAGAGAAAACCTATTACCGGATTCCGCGCAAGTAGCTATGTACGTACCTCCAAAAATATGGGATTAATGACGAGATGCTGTGAGCTGTCTGATTATAGTGGGTGGATACTACTGCTACGGCAGGTACTACTGCTTCTGGTCAGATCTTATTGGGGGGTACAGGTGACTGTCACTGAATCAGCTGTGGAAAAATAATGGTAATGGCGATATATAATGGGTGATTGTTGGTATTTACTGTGCTCATTTGGAAGCCAAATGAGCAGATTTACAGTACCATATATTGTTTACAGTATTGCCAACTTTATTTTGAAGATGACAAATAAAGCGGTCCGAGAACATGTAACATTTTTTCAGCAATTAATATCTTAGTTATAGTTAAATAATCTGTCACTTGCTTGCACGTCGGTAGCGGCTGAAACAGTTCTGTCTCATGCATTAACTTTGCATGGTTTTAAGTATGCAGACTGACAGAACCTTGACATTTGGTGTACATGTACCTGACAGCCCTCTGAACAGACGATGCCATTTCACTGTGACGATGATGATTATGATAAATGAGGATGATAGATGATTGCAAGCAAATTGATGTGAATTCATAGTTTGCATTTAGTTA